TTGTAAACATCTGATGTTGGTGACTGGGGCACCTTGGCAGTTCTTCATTCTCATTCATCTTTTGACAAGATGAAGGGTTATTAAGGAGGGGTGCTTGAGCAGAAGCGGTTTTTGAGAGATGGAGGAGAGCGCTGATGAGAAGGGAGTTTAAATAGGTCTCAGTGTTACTTGAGGCAGGCTTGACTAGGTTACAAGCTGTAACCTCAATTCTTGAAGATGCTTCACGGGTGTTTGAAATATGCCATTGAGAATCTTCTGGTTCTGCACTTCTTCTTGTTGGAAAGTGTTTCCTGCATGAGTGGCATCATCCACCAGATGTGCACGGTGAGTTACTATTAATTAGCAGCAGCACCAGGATCCTCTGACATCTATATTGGGCAAAGATGCAAATGCACAATCTGGCACCTAGTGAAAGAGCCTGGTTGGCTTGGAAGCCAGGAGATCCAGTTTTAATTCTAATTCAGATGAAATATTCATGTATGCCTACTAAAAATGCCTTAAGCCTGACAAGTCTTTGTTTTATACCCATGGAAAAGTAGGTTTGGGATGGTTTTTTTCTGCTTAAAAACGATCTTTTGGGATGGGTGTAATTTCTGACTGTAGAGTGCCTGGTGGAAAGAGACCCTCATCTTCTGTTGACTTCAAATTGTGTTTGTGGTTACCCGCCACTGGTGCAAGGTGTCAGTCGCTATTTATGGAGTTCTTAATATTGAGAGTAAAAGATGTGGGAAGTGGAAATGGTGATAGGTGCACGTTTAGAACTGCTCTTACGGGCTACCAAGAGGCGTAACTGCCTCTGGACACGTGTTTTCCTTGCGTTTTAGTAGACTTAATTGAGTCCTCTGGAACAAGTTACAGACTAATTGTATCCTGTAGTTATTTTCAGTGTAGTTCTCTAAATCTGATTTCTGTTACGTACAACAAACACAGGCATTGGTTCGGGAATGCAGCGAGACCATGCCTAAATGTTTGTTTTCCCTTGCACAATCCCTTGCTTTGAAGAAACTATATCTTGTTTTCCATAAGTGGGTGGCCTATAGCAGTGTCTGTCTTTTGGCAGAACAAAATAAGTGTTAACTTGGGTTAAATGGAGTAACTTTGCTGTGAAAAGATAATGGCAAAAAAAGTACATGCAGCATAAACAATGGTATGGTAGTTTCTTGGAAGTGGTATTGTGGTTATGAGGGTGTGGTGATTTTCCTAAAATTCACTTATCACATTCCCACTTCTACTGAAATAAAAATATCTCTTGTGCTTTAGGTTCCATATCATCATCATCTTAAAGGTGCAGCTCATTTCCCGCCCTAGCCACCCCTTTCCACTTTTAAAAAAAAAAAAGCAAACAACAACAAAACTGTAGACATCTCCTGTTGATAATAACTTCCAAATGGAAATCAGTTCCAGCTAGTTCTTCACCTGTTAACCCTTTGTCTGCTGGCCTTCCAGGAAATAATTGATGAGTGATTGGCCCATTAACCTTTTTTCTAAAAAAAAAAAAAGTTTGACAGCCTGGACCAGTGTAATGAGAAGGGATTCCTAGTGAAATCTGGTTGATGGCTGAGTTGCTTGCCCCTAAGGATGCAAAATTAGCCCCGCGGGACCTCGTCTGCATAGAAACTGGACACAATTAGTGTAATATCCGGTGTTATTAATGTAGTTTGGAGTAATTGGGCAGGTTGATTTCGACAGGTTGATGGTGCTAAAATACTATTATAGTGGACCTTTCTATGAATAACTGTTAAACATGGAAAACTGTTTAATAAAATTTTGTGATTGGGCTCACAGGGATTTAAACAGCACAACCTATAATTTAGCTGAAGAGTAAAACTGAACAATTTCGTTCTACTGCCTGGATTTTCCTGTTCATGTATGCCGTGGTTAAGGACATACCCAGTTGCTACTCGGTTTTTGTAGGCATTGCCCTGTGGATGTTGTGGAGCAGGCACTGCTGTTTTATTTCACAGTTGCGCTTAAAAAAAAAAAAGGTGTATTTAGGCAGAAAATGCATTATTGAGCACATCTTCAACTTTTCATCTGAGCTTTTTAGGAAGTAGCTTCAGCAGGTATCACGAGAGTGAAAGCTTGCCTGTTCCTGATGTCTAATCAGTGATGACCAAGTTTTCAGCTAATTTCCTGACGAACTGAAAAATGTCCTTCCGACTTAGCCTTAAAACACGGTGTAGTCCTCATAACGCGCGATGGGGCTGTACCAGGACAGACTCAGCAGTTTGTTACGTGGCCTTTGCAATCCCGAGCCACAAAGGCTATGCAAGGTCTTTACTGCTTTTGTCAGTGTCACAGCAGAAAAGGACAGGAGATTGAAGCAAAGGAGCTTCTCCTTTAGGAAAAGGAGACTTGCTATATAAAAGAGTGACCACGGGAAATGGCTGGAGATGTTTCCTGAATTTCAGTCCACTCAGCTGAAGAGCGAGGTTTGTGTCCTCTGCTCTAGGTCTTCCGTAAGCAGGGGAATAACTTTGTGTAGCATTTCTGGAAAACAGAGTTTGCAGAGGTACCACTGCAAGGTCGATGTTTCAACCTCGGTTTTGGAGGGCACACTGTCTGAACCGCAGAGCTTATTTCGCATAAGCCGTACTTGGACAAACCAGCTTCATGCATGAGATCGGAATTATTGGCAAGTAGGAGATAGGAGGATTCAATGATGCTGCAGTGTGATTGTATCCACTTTTTTTAAGGTCTGGAAGTGCAATACTGGGAAGTCACCTGGTTCTTAGGCAGTGGCATGAACTGCTACAGGAGAGCAGAGAACCTCTCTAGAGATACACCATATATACTTCTTGAGTATTAGTTATTTACCGTATATTCGTGTTGAGGAGTTATGTGTTGACAAATCAGCCCTGCCAGTGTGAATGAAGTCTCCTTTCTCATCCTCTTCCATGTTTTTGCATCCTCCCTGCTTAAAATGGAGATGCAGGGAGTTTTTAACTCAGAGGTGGCAAAAGTACTTATTTTCTCTTGCAGGCAGCCCCTTTAACTTACAGCAAACCTCTGGTTTATGGTGGTACAGCATGGCATTGGGGGTGAGAGGTGCAGGGAAAATCCGATGCAGCCTGGAGCAGAGCTGCGAGTGGGGAAGGGAGAGGCTGAAGGAGAGGGGCATGAGCAGCACAAAATACAGTGAGGCTGCAAAGGGCCTCTGTGTTACTGCCTGCTGCGGGGTCCCTGCCATAGCGGTACACGTGTCTCGGTACCACTCGCTCTGAGTGATTTGTATGGAAGGCTCTTCTGAACATGTAGTGGCCAGCATTGGAAATCCTTCCTTCAGTAAGACTTGAGGAGTACAAAATTTTATCACTCAAAATCCCCTAGAAAGCCTGAAAATGCTAAATTTCCTAAACAGGACGCTGCAGAGGGCTGCTTCAGGCAAGACTCAGGTTTTTATATTCTCTTCCTTCACCATCGCTCCCTGTTTTCATCAACACATGCATAGCGCTGCAAAGGCCCATGTCCTCCCCTTTGACCGTGTGCCAAACCGCTTCTGCATAAGTAGAGCACAACAACTGCGCTCTCCTAGACGAGGCAGTGTGCAGGACTGAGCGTAATTTCCTTTATTATCGAGTAGTTCCTTTTTCATCTCCCTCATAAACTCTTAAAAGCTCTGATTGATAAATGCGGCTTTTTACCATTATTTAATGATAGTATTTTGGATAATGATTCTACCTGTTTATTTTTAACACAGTGTTACAAAAGTGAGAAGTGTTTATAGCCATACAGGTGCATCATTTCTCTTATCTTTCTTTTCCCACTTACCCACACTCTTTTTAATTGTATTTTCTTAGTAAGACTGCTACTTAATGCAGCTCATGCACCTGGAAGTAACCTTCCCCTCCGTGTTTATTCTCACCTCAAGGTGCAAAGTAACCTCCTGCTATTTTTTTGAGGCATCATTAAAGCAGTGTAAGCACTGGCCTTGCTAACATGGAGTTTATCAAAGAAAACCAGTTGTCCCACAGGTTGAGAAAATGACTGCCAGCGAGCAGTAGTACTGTCTTTATAGCTAGCACTCGATTTGTCACTTATCTTTGCGTGCTTATGGATGACAAGGTAATGCAGCAGTTTCATGGCTCTGAATGTATAATAAGTCATTAGCGGGCAAGCGAATGTAAATGCTCTTTCTAAAGCCCATTATGGCTGATGTTCACCAGAACTTTGTGCTCTGTTATTCTTTTCCTTTCATGCTTCGTGCCTGCCCTTCCCAATTCCACTCACTCTGTTTCAGCTTCCTTGATTTTTTTAATTGGACTTTGGTGTCCCATGTGTAGTTGAAGCCTGTGTCCATTTAGTTCAGTTCTGCTGGTGTTTTCATATGCTGCGTTCCTCTGGCCTGAATACTTGTCCTGATACTCTAGTAGCCCTAAGGATATTTCACTGACCCTTTCTGCTGGCTTCTCAGATCATTTTCTCATCTCCTGTGCTGAACGTGAATGTTGAATAGGTTGAATTGATTTTAATCCTGTATTATAACCCAGTGTATTTAAGCTGTAGACAAGATGCACACATCCGCTTTTAATATATCTATGCATGTAAAAAACTGCTTGAAGGATGAGTGTAAATTGTCACATCTTCTGTATTGTCAGCTCTTTATAGTCCATTCATATTATAAGTTACTTTGTGACACATTTTGATTTTTACATTATGTAGCTCTTAGCACCTCAGGTTTAAATCTAAATGATGCTTGTTATCCACTTTGTTTTCAAGAAGGGTATAGATTTGATACCAAACTCTGAAATTCACACAGGAACTGAATATTTACCCAAAACAGAGGTTTATCTGCGTAACATTTGGAAAGAAAAAGCAGCAAATCCACAAGCTATTTTCTGATGCGTTGGGCAACTGCACAGTAGTTGTATATATCTAGCCTGAAACCTCAAGTGTCCAGACCCGCTTGTTACGTTGCAGAAGTGATCATCAACCAAGATTGTTTGGGTCTGGCTATCAAAAACTTAATCTTTCCTTCCTATTGTTGGGGTTTTTTTCAGAACAAGAAGAAAACTTTGAGTTCATCATTGTCTCTCTCACTGGCCAGACGTGGCACTTCGAAGCTACCACATATGAAGAAAGAGATGCGTGGGTACAAGCCATAGAGAGTCAGATCTTGGCCAGTTTACAGTCCTGTGAGAGCAGCAAGAACAAGGTATGCTACACACAGTAATGCCAAAAATAAGTAACGGGTAGGTGATCATTAAGACAAAAGCAAAATCAAGAACTTTGAATTTTAAACCTGCACTCTTAGAGTGGTGATGACAGAAGTAATTTATTTTCAGTTCCTGTCAAAATAAATATCTGAAATCTGAGACTTCTTCAGCCGTTGCTCAGTTGTGGAAGGACAGGAGAACTTCTGCTTGTTGAGTCTCTGTGTCTGCAATTTCTACAACTGGAAAGCAAGGTGCTGAGTCGGAAAGAAAGAGAAGTGGGCAATAATAGTTCAAACCTGTGCATCCTTTAACATTAGCCACCTAACAGTTGTCTTTAATGATTTTGTATTGCAAGGAAGAGACTCACATTTCGAAATGAACGCCTGCTTTCATTGCCCAGGTCCACATGAGTAGATCGAACACCAGTAATTACCATCATCATAATATAATTCACTTCCCATTTTGTTAAAAAAATTATTTGTTTCCAATAGATATTTCTGAAATAAGAGAAGTATCATTACTTACATGTTTTCTTGCCTTTCCTGGATTTACACATTCTGATGTGTATGTTAAGGGAGCACAAAAGAAGACATTTGTACACTAAAACCTATATAAAAATATTAATACAAAAGAGGATAGAGAGTTGCTGGTAAGTGGCTCAGAAAGGTTTTTTTTCTGTGAGGTGTTACTGAGGTGTCAAAACATACTGGAAGAACTACCCAGAATAGCAAAGTGCCGTTGGTTGGACAGGTTTAGTAGGTGTCCCACTGAAAGAGCAGGAGGACATATCTCCACAGGGCCATACTTGCAACCTGGTCCTCATCCTCCTTAAATCAATTGAATACAGAGCTCATCACTTACTACAGATAACAGTTCTCTTCTCAGGGAGTCCACAAGACAGGTTGATTAGGCAGGGCTGAACTACTTGTACATCGTGACAGTCTCTCCGGGTCCAAGTAGAGGTCATTGGCGGGTCACCATGGAGGGAATTTAAATGGGAGCCATCTGATTAAGTCTGACCTTTTGATGATAAAAAGGTTTCAGCTGCTTTTGCAAACCATACCTTAGTCTTCGTTAGCAGAAGCATGCACATCAATAAAAGAAATTGATTTTATAAAATAATATTCTTATCCAATTTATCTCAAGAAGCAAACCTACATTATGACTACTCTTCTTGTGAATAGCAGTGTTCTTTCTCAAACTCGATTTTCCTCTGTGCGGTCTCCCCACTTGTTAGAAGCCAGGCTGGAGACCTCAAAAGTGCTGGGACCTTCTGCACAAGGTGGAGAGAGCCCTGGGAGAAATCCCAAGCTGTCAGGAAACATATGAGGAAAGAGGAGTCCCTGCTCAGCAGGCGTGGACTTGCAGTTTTTGGAGATGCCGAAGGATCACCCTCTCTTGAGAGGCAAATCAGAGACTTGAGGCTTCTTATCACGTTCATTCAGCCTTGGTCTAAGCTTTGGGTTTTGCCGTTTGTTGAGCTGACAGTTGTGTTGTGTAATTTGATTTGGTTCTCATTTGTTACTTATGCATTTCTTTATGCAGTCCCGCCTGACGAGTCAGAACGAGGCCATGGCCCTTCAGTCCATAAGGAATATCAGAGGCAATTCCCACTGCGTGGACTGTGAAGCACAGAGTAAGTATGGCCGCTTGTCTTCAGAAAACTCGCCTCTTCTTGGCCAAGACTTCTCCTTGGTCAAAACTGAAGTGAATGCTTGCCATGGGCTTTGCCTTTCTTGGGTCTTACATTCATATGTTGTTTGCACATTTCTTCTTCATTATGAAGTCAAGCTTATTTTATATTTACTTGTAACCTAACATATGCTGTGTCAGATGCATCCTAATTTCTTCCCCTTGTTGTTTTCACATGCCACTTAAAATGTCAGCGTTTTTTTACTTTCCTTTGAAGAAAAGGAAAAAGAAGTTTGAAATCAGTTACTTCCATTTTCTTCCAATTTTGTGTGGAGAGGGCACATGTGACATGGTATTATTTTCATAGAGGTGGAGCTTGATTGGTGGGTTTTTTGGTTTGTTTTTTTTAGGGTTACTTGTCAGAAGAAACCAAAGTCATTCCTCATTATATCTGGATACTAGGAAAGTGATTTGAGATTTTTTTTTTCTCCTCTTTGTGTTTCCTTCCTTTTTTTTTTTTAAAAACAGATACTTAGTGTTCAGAAAAGTGTTCCTGAGAATACTTTGAGCTGCAGTTCACCTCACTAACCCCAGCTGAGGTCATTATTCTGGTGCTCTTTAGTTCCAGGGGTTTGCAACAAAGCCACAAAAAGGAAGTACTCTTGCTCTAAAGCAATTAGCTGTAGAAACAGGAGGCTTGAGAACTTGTGCATTTTTATTTCTTTGATACTTGAAAGTCAGAACTTTTCTTGTGATTTTTACATGTGCTTAAAATGGAAAAATATGCATTTAGCTTTCTTTGGGTATATTTTTTTAAAAAAACTTTGCTATTTAGGGTTTTGACTATTGGCCTAAGCTGTTCTAACATCGCAGTTAACTTTAAAACGAATATTCATACGGAAGTGCAAATGCTTTTGCATGACTAATTTCCTATCTGCATAGAGAGCAATTGAGTTATCCACCAAACAAACCTGTTATCCCCTGCCTCATCCTTAGAAGACTTGAATGGAAGGTGGTTAGCACATTAACAGCCGTTTAAAATAAACAAGATTTTTCTGTACCATCAAAATTGGCTTCACGTACTGACTGGTTTTAGATTGCTTCTTTTCTAACCTGTCAGATATTTGTATGCTGGCTGTAGGAGATGGATCAAGAACAAAGGCAGCTGCCCTGTCCCCAGTGGTTCAGCGCACAGGAGTGTGAGCCCTGGCTGGACCGGGCTTTGAGCACCAGGACTGGGATGCTGTCAGAACAGCTTGTTGACCTGCTGGAGGGCCATTCCAGAGAGGAATTTCACAGGCATTTTTGACAGACAGAGAGAAATGATAGCAACACTGATACACTGAGGTCTTTACATTCCACTGGCTAGTAACCCAGCATGCAATAAACAAGAGAAAATGTTGCTTTGGCTGATCTTTTAACCTATACAGCCCAAAGTGACTCTTATTTATTAGTGTTCTTTCATATTGACCTCGTAGTTGTTCGGATTTACACCAAAGCTTTGATATAGTTCAGGTAAAAGGCTTGTAAGATGCTGTGCTGTATATGAGAAGGACAGGGTCTTCAAGTGACTTAGATGTATATTTAGCGCATTTGAAGTACTCAGCTGCTATCTGTGAGCAGACCACGATGATTTCTGCTCCAGTGGGTCTGCACAGCTGTGGGTGGCATTTTCCTAGATCCTGCTAACTGCTCACCCAGGCAGAGGGGGAACGTACAATCCGTTCACTGAGGACGACTTCCCACACCCATGCATGTCTTTCTGGTGTATCTGTGATCTGTTTCAGCTCTACCCTGAGTCCGCACTGTCCCCAAGACGTGCGTTTCTCTCCCAGGTCGTGCACGTACCCCAGTATTTATGCAGCCAAGCTAGATGTTTAATGAGGAAGATTATTGTGCAAGAAGGCAGCGCTCTTTTAGTTCTTTTTTTCCCTTGCCCCTGCTCCATCCAGGTTGGTTTTCATCCAGATTGCTTCATGGGTCAAGCTGGCCACATGTGCATGGTGCCAGTAGGAGGGATGTGCCAAGAATATATTGCTGAGAGAGGGCAGGGTGGGACTGCCCTTTTTGGCAACACTCAGCACGCTGTTGGGTGGTTTTTGCAGGTGGGGAGGGGGGAGGGATTTTGGAAGCTCAGCTGGAGCCTCTTAATTGTTTGTATTCTTGGAGATGATATATACCCTCTTTGACTCTTCTTGCCATTTGGCCTTCCTAATTTTAAGGCCACTTTTGAAAAAATTTGGGGTATTTCCAAAGCAATGTATCTTAAAATGTAAACATGCACGTGAGGTGAACCTAAGCCTGCTACTTTTTCTGCCAGGCTTTATTTCCTTCTCTCCCTTTCTGCCTTGCCTGGCAGTCCTTACCCCCAGAGCATTTAGCATCACAAACACCAGTGCTCTTGTGGAAAGCTGGCGTTGTTTGCATCTTCACAAAGCCAGATGTTTGGGAGCAAAGGAATATGAGACGTTACTGTCCCTCAGTTCTATTCAAGAGCCATCAATCTTCCACTTCAGAAGTCTCATTCTTCCTCTTTCTAGAGCTCTTTGCCTTTTTAGCACTTCGTCATAGCACTTTGTTTCACCAGGGAATTTCTGCCTTGTATGTTAATCAGCAGCAGTAGTACCAGCAGCATCTGTGTGCCACCAGCCTTCTGGCCCTTTGGCAGTTTCACACTAAAGTTTTTCAGTAGTTTTTATTTTTTCTAAGGTTTCCATCCCAGAGCAATAAACGATGCAAAAAGTGCTCTTCAGGTGCTGGAATTTTTGCCCAAGAAGATCTCATTTCTTGTTTCAGAAGCAAACTCATGTTGCCTTTTCCCAGAGCGTTGGAGTCCCAGTGCTGACTTCTGTGTGTTGCTGAAAACACTGAAGGTGATCAAATTACTTAGGCAAACCCAGTTAAATTTCTGCCCCTGAAGGATTTCAGCTCCTCCAGTCTTCCCACTTAGAAAGCAGATGAGAGGATAAACATGAGTCGTTCTTTCAGGATGCCTGGAGAGCATGGAATATCAGGTCTGGTAAAAGAAAACAGGGAGCTCTTATAGAGGGAGAGTCTCATCGTGAGTTTTCCAGTCCAAAAGTCGAATAACTTCTTATGGTGTATTTTGTATTTGAAAGACAAACACTAAAGTAATAATTTTGGTGGCCCTGAGAAGCCTGCCATTCCCATCATGAGATTCAATTTGATATGCAGAATAATAAAAAAAAAAAACAACTCTCAAAGAATAGGAAAGATGCAAACTTTTCTCTTCTGCCATGACTCTGCAAGATGCATTCGTCCCTGTTTCTTCTTTTCCTGGCTTTTCTGTTCCTCCCTTTAGAGATTCCCTCTGCTCAGTCCCGAGCTGTCTTACATATGCTGAACTTACGAGGATTTAGCATGGCAAAGCCTTTCATCAGCCACCTCAAGTCCAAAGGGATGAAGGAAATGGCAGGGAGGGGTTATTCTCCTAACAGAGCTGTTGCAAGAACTTTCACCTTCACATGATTAGCCTGACTGAGGTGCAAGTCCAAATAGGGAGGATGTTTTTCAAGAAGGAGAGAACTAAACACCTTTAAGAATATGGACAGCAGTAAATTGTAGTCACTTTTAACAGTGATATTAAAAAGCTCGTGTTTTGTTTGACAAATTGTAAGTAAAACAAAGAGCAGAAACCAGCTTTATAGCATCTCTCCCTGCACTGAATGGGCTTTTTCCTTCCTTTGCCATCAAATCTGGATGTATGCATACTGCAGAAAAGTATGTTGTGTGGCTTTAAGTGAGCATCCTCCAACTCAGAATTACTCTTAGCATCGGCAGGAAAAGGGAACTGCAATAGTGAGCTGATTTTTGATCACCTGAAAAAAAAATTGGGGAGGGGGGGCAGAAATCAGGTTGCATAGTTATGGCTTACTAACCATGCGTAGATTTTTTCAGTATAAATCAATGGTAACAAATTTCAAGAATGAAATTTTGAAAGTGTTCAACTCCGTATGGGAAGAGGGAGATGCAGATAAGAGCAGTGAATTGCGAACAGGAACATTCCTGAGCATGTAGTTTACAATAATTCAGCTTTATTATTGGTAGGTAGCGATTTGTGGCATCACTGAAACAGAAGTCGTAAGTGACATCATGTCAGTTTTTTCTCAGAATCCATCGAACGATGCCACTTGTCCATGCTCCTCCTGAGAGCCGTGTCTTGCTCCATACTAGCCAAGATAAGCAAGATCAACAAGTCTGTTTTTTCGCTGGATGTCTATAATGAGTTCAACACTTGCCTTTCCTACTTTACCACCTTTGAACTCAGTTGTGTGCTGTCCGATTGTTGGAATATAAACTACTGTCCTGATAAAATTTCATTTTGCTTCTTTTTGCTTTGGTGGAGTACTTCAATCATACCAGCACTTTCAGTTCGAAGTAGGTGACTACTTTAAGAATTTATTCAGTAAAAGATACACTGGATATGCTTCCAGTACACAGGTATCTGGGAGGTCCTTAACATGAACTCTGTTGGAATAATCGGGAAAATATTCGTATTTTTTTCTCTCGCCTCATTCTGAGTTCGTGCCTCTTTGAGCTCATTGTGCTTTTAATTTTTGTGAAAATAACCCTGGCCTTTGCAAGTCAGGGACAGAGATTTCATTCTGAGTAACAACTTGCAAATTTTAAGTTATTATCTGGTGTGTTTAAGATTTTACTGACAAATTGGTATTTTGGGGTTTTTAGTGCGTTTCAGTTGTACTACTGGTTCTCCCACTGGCAAGGCACTGAAACTGGTGGAGGTGACCTGAAGAAATATGCAAGAAAAGAGTTTGTCATAGTTGTCCTACCAAGAAGTCAAGAAGTGTGGCAGGAGTGTTGTCTCATCTTCTTACTTTGGAGATCTGAAATGGTGTATATTCCTAGTATAACACTTGACATGGACAGGAACTTTTTTAAGAAAAGACTTTTTTTCTGCTGAAGTGAAATAAGATAGGGGATTTTTTTCTTACTGGGGATATTTTGAGACTTTTTAATGACTGATTGAAAAATGAACTTTGTATGTAAAATTATGTGCTTTCCTTTCATATCTGTTGTCCAAATGTGACCTGGCAAAGGACTAGGAAATGTTTTATCTCCACGTATTTTGGCTGCCAAAAATAGCTTTTCAATTTTGGGTTACACAAAGTCAAAATAAGTCTTTAGATGAAATTTACCTGAACGGAAGGGGACAGTGAAACTTCATCTTTTATCAGCTCTAAATTTCATTTAGATTTCAGTAAAGATTGCCTGCCCTCTCAATTAATCACCATTTTCCTGCTTGGTGTTTGTGGTAGCCTACTAGTTCTTTGGGAAGCTCAGAGTGAGGCAAGAAGAAAAGATCTGGCAGCAGGAGGGAGAAAAAAAAGACACCAAAAATTCCTCCCATACATCTTTCATTGCATTTGTTAAAATGGATGTTTGTTGGAGAGAGGGAGATTCATACAAATCTAGATTTAAATAACACAGGACGGTGACCAAAAAATGAACCATCTTGGGAAATGACTTTGAATTTCCCGGCTTTTGTTGGTTTTGTCACAGCCTTATCATTTGTGAGGTTATTTTGTGCGTGTGTGTGTGTGTGTGTGGAATCCTTCTGCCTCATACACTGAAACTGGGACTGTTCAAAGTCTCACATTTTCGTCTTAGTACTTATCTCCCTGATCTTAGAGATGAAAACATACCCCATAGTGTGTTAGATGTAAAAGCCATATGTAGGTGATGATATAGATGGTTATTAAGGGAGTTGATATAGTTAGCAACAGAGATATTGTATCTAGTTGCTCTTCTTTTTTTTTTCTCCTTTTTCCCTTATAATTGGCTACAAGTGGCTCTAGATTCCCAAGGAGGGGCTTTTTCTCCACTACTTCAGCAGCAGCAGCCTGCCACCGCATTTGTGTTTTCTTTGTTTCTTCTTTTCTGTCTAATTCTTAGTACTTTTTCGACTGGAGGTGGAATGATATGTCTTTTGAGACACCCCCACCTCCACAATGTTTTTTTTACTCCTTGAGGGTTTCTCAGAAGGTTTAGTATCTCAGCAGGGCAAAATTGACCCTTCTGGAAGACCTCCCACCTTTGCTTTTTGACAGGATGCCTGCTTTTTTTTTTTTTTTTCTATCCTCAGAGCCAAAATCATTAGGCACAAACATTAACTGGAAGTTTTCATTAGGTGTTTCGTTGTAGTGATTGCTTGTGTCCTTTTTCCCGTAGACCCTGACTGGGCCAGCTTGAATCTGGGAGCCCTCATATGTATCGAATGCTCAGGTATACACCGAAACCTTGGCACACACCTCTCCCGGGTCCGCTCTCTCGACCTGGATGACTGGCCTATAGAGCTCATCAAGGTGATGTCTTCTATCGGGAACGAGCTGGCAAACAGTGTCTGGGAGGAGAGCAGCCAGGGCCATATGAAACCTTCGTCAGACTCCACAAGGTAGGCTGGTTGACTCCATCTCACCATGGCACACAGTATGTGCTACTGCACATGGCCGAGGCTGCAAGCTTATGAGAGCGTAAATCCTCATTTTGGCTTTTTGGTCACAGGTGGTAGGGCACTGCAACATTTTACAACATGGACTTGTAAAATTCTCCTTCGGAGTACACCTTGTAAAAATTGTAATGTATATATATCTTCACTGCATGCCCGGAAAGAGCACGTGTCAAAAGTTGAGTGACCCCGTTACTTTTTTCACTCGTGAAGGTTTGCTCAGCATCTCTAAAATTTTTTTGTTCAGTTGACTGACTGACAAAACAGTGGGAGACTGAAACCTCCTGCCTGGTTGTTCCTCAATCTAAATTACGCTGTAATGTGTTTCTTTGTTTCGGTTGGCCACAAAGTTCCTGCCTCTTGGACTATCAGTTTGTGATTAATAATCTGCCTTCAGTAGTTCAAGCTCACCCAGGAATTTGTGCCTGGCTGGCAGGTCTTTGGTTTCTCATCACAAGTGTTGAAAGTTCCACTCACTATGGACTTGCTTACTTTTTTTTATGTGATATATGTGAAACCATAAGTTGCAGGGAGTTGTTTCTTAAAGAATGGTATTTTACTTAACCTGTCATAGCTCAGCACGGTGAAAATCATCTTTCTGCCATACCTTGTCCTATCACAAGCTAGAGGTTTTTGATGCTTATCTTACCTGATCAGAGTCAAAGAAAGACGTTTTGAAAATACTTCCCTGATTTTCAGTAAATTTCAGATGGAGGTGCTAGGAGTTATACCTGAGGTATTGGCTTGGGGGGAGCGAGGTGACCTCTGGCAGACTGGGGTTCAGCAAAAACAGGCAGGAGAATGACCTTCTGGACTGCCTTGCACAGCTGGGCCAGCCTGTGAAGTTGTCTTCAGAAACGCGTTATAATTGTCTTGGGGCGAGCTCCAGGGGGGCAGCCTGTATCCCAGCACTGGGCAGTCCCCACATAGCAAACAGAGTGGTGGAGCTGTAGCCCTCAGCGTTTGCCTCCCGCGCTTGGAAGAGTTCAGAGGGAATTATATTCTGGTTTTGTTGATGTGTATCTCTGGATCCTGCTTTTTCCAGTACCAGATCAAGAGAAATTGTAATGAGGGAGCATACACCTGGGCCACCTCCTAAGGTGTAGGAGTGGGTTTGTACTGTTGTCTGTAATAAAGTCAACTGTTTCTTACTGCTTTATTTCATTGGTACTGAAAAATGAATTTGTGGTGCCACCTTTGGTTCATCTTCGAGAATGAAGCCAGTGCATTAATCAGGCTACTTAGATGAATGACTATGCGTATAAAAATGTCCAGGGAGACCTACGCAGAGGTTTTGTTCATACATAGACTGTATGTCGTATACGTGTATTTTATTAAAAAGCTAATCTGATTATTTCATCAGGTAGATTGAAATCAACTTATTGCTGCCTTTCAGTCATTAGTATTACTTTAATCCAGAGATCTTATATTGTTGCATCTAACAAATACTTGTTGCTCCTCACTGTTGAGGTGAGCTGCAGAGATACCTCAGTTCTAAACAATTTTGAAAGGAAAGGGCGTATACTCAATTGAATTTATTTATTTTTTGAGAAATACTTTAATATACATATAGTAAAAATGCTGTCATGAAAAATCTGAAGTATGTGTGACTGTGATGAAAAGAGAGCCGTCCACCTGAATTAAATCATTCAGTTTTTTAAGTTTGGAAGTGAATTTTACTTATAAAAACATCAACTTTGTTCTCTTTGTATTCCATGCTTAGAGTTTATTTTAGTTCTTTGTGTACATCTTCATGTTTATATTCAGCTGCTTATGTTTGTCAGTGACATAATTGCGCTTTCCTTTCTTGGACTATAATATTTTTCAACAAGAGGTATAAAGATTCAGTTTATAAATATTAATTTCCATCTGTGTGTCCAATTGCACACTTACTTGATGGAAGAGCTGCTAGGAAAAGTAGAATTAAGGTTATGTGAAAATCTTCCCACGAAACAATTGTAATCTTGCTTTGCTACTCTTGTTTTTTGCACTGTTCGCAGTGGGGACTGAAGTGCTATTTTTCACATAAATATCTGAAATGTCTGCTTTTTCGAAGTGTGTGCCTCCTTTGGTACTTTACTTTGGTCTCTTCTAGCATCATACTCCTTCTGTCCAAGATGTGGTAAGAAAATAAGTTGAAGTTCTTTAGGTATAAGTTGTGCATTCCATTTTCCCACTGCTGTTGGCAGTTTTGTGTGAGGAATCCTGTCGGAAGTGGCTACGAGGGACCTACCGATGGGGTTAAACAAACACTCATTTTTTGTTATTGAGGAGTTGAAGGGGAAGAGACAGTTGAAGTTGAGGGACTGAAGGAAGAGGCAAGAAAGTAAGTAAGTAGAAATATGCTGGGGAGCTGAGTTTTGGAGTTCTAGTGGAGGAGAGATGGAGGGAGTCCACGGGTATTTGAAGATCAGGGAAGAAAGAAACATTCCTCAAAACTCCTTCTGAAGGGGAAGAGATCTGGGGACTGGTGTTGGGGCTCTGTCCTTGCTCATGCTGGTGAACTCTGGGATGAGCCCGAGTCCTAGAACTACTGTGTGAGGAGGCTCCCACACTCGGCGTGCTCTGGCTTTAAGGAGTTCTCACCAAAGCCCTGTCAGATGGGAGAGAGAAGTACTCCCGTGTTTTCTTCCCAGTTTCTCCTGAGCTTACTCATATCCTCGTTCACCTCTGCAGCCCCATTTACTACGTCTGTCCCGCGTGGTGCTCTCATCTTCAGTTCCACTCATTAATCCACCCTCGATGGCTTTCCACATGATAGCTCAAACCTTTAGGCTGTACTCAGTGTTGGAAACACAAGAACAGAAGATCTCTTAACCGTTTCCCCAGCTGATTGAAAGGCTTAGCACAAAGCATCAGTCAAGGACATTAGACAAATACAATCTTCTCATGTGTTTCCATATGGAAGGCATGTCTCTTACTTCTTCTGTCCTCACTGTGCCACCCCCAAAACACTGGAAGTCATTGGCAAAATGATGGACTGTCTGTCCACACTTGCAGAGATCAGACATAAATGAGTCTTTCTTTTGGAGATGAAGCCATCACCGGAAACCTGCAGGCTTTTTAGGAGCCAAAAAAGGGTTGTTGACTGCTCCATAGATACTGAACCTGTTGGGCTGGGAGGCTCGATAACTGTTCACATGCTGGACTAAAAGGAACTTGAGTGTCTTGATATGGTTTCAGAAGCAAATCCTTCAGCTTGGGAGAAGTCAGCACTGCTCACTGAATTGCTCCAGTGGTGTCCCACGTGTTTCTGTTGAGTTAGGGAAGAATGGAGAGACCCAGGGAGACCAATGTTTTACAGGAGGGATTGCCAAATGATTGCTGCAGGCCAGGGCATAATTAAAGAACTTTACTCAGGAAAATGTCAGCAATGTTTTTAGAGGTATGTTAGGCTTTGAGTATAACTTACATTTTCAATTTTGTACACCCCAAAATTAGATAACTATTATCAAACTTAAACACATCCGATATACCATACTGCTGTCCTTTCCTAGTTCATTCAAATGCACTTAAAACTCTTTCTCTAAAAAAGTCATGGGGAGAAATAAAGCTGGAAATGCATTTTGAAGGTCAGAAAGGCTCAGATCAGAGGGTGTGAACTCAAAGCCTGAGAGTTTTGATAGCTAAAGGCGTTACTCCTCTTACTTTCATCAAGGGTATATTGCCCAAGTATATTCTCTGATGTTAACACGTGCCAGGTCTCATCGAGCCTGAGAGACAGCTTGTATAAAATAAGGAGATCTCCTGGTCATGCGGTGCCTCCTGGATCAAAAGCAACGCCCTGGATGGCCTCTGGTGTGAAACTAGGAGGCAGCTGGAGCTGTGGGAGCACAGGTGCAGTGGGATCTCCAAGGAAGCAACCTAGAGTAAAGCAGTAGCATGAGGCAAAGTTCAGACCTAGGGCATTGGCATGATTACAGAGAGGAAAGAGGAATAAGCACGAGCTCCCAGTGAGTAGAAGACGTTGGCGAAGCAGCAGAAAACTCAAGTGCAGGCGAATATACGAGTGGTAAAGGGAGAAGGGACCAGGTGGCCTCTGTGCGGTGGTGTCCGTGGGTCCCTGATTAGGTCAGCTTTGGAAGGCTGGTAATTGGTTCCAGCAATTACCAGGAGCCCTGAGAACCGCCGCTCAAACTTCGGGAGCCCTGTGACAAATTGAAGCTGACTGCTGGTGAAGGAGTATCGACTTCCCATTTCTAAACAGGGGGATCATTAGTCAAGAAAAGCATCTTTTAATTACTCACAGGAAGAAAAAAAAAAAGGGAGGGAGAAGGAAAAAGATCTTTCAGTATGGATCCTGCAACAACTGCCTATTTTTTTCCAAGGGTATTCAATATTAAATTTATTGTCTTGGAGGGGAGGGGGTGAGCTGGCAGAATTTGCCTGCAGTCCCTCCTTCGGTAATGCGGGTTTAATTTGGAGTGAGAAGTCAAATTAGAGTAAATCAATGTTGCGACAATTAACTGGGTCTGGGGATGAGATCAGGATTTTCCCCTGTAATTGCTATTGATACTATTTAAGCACACTCTTAAAACATTGATTTGGAGTGGCACAACATGGTAGTAGCCCGGTGGGGCAGGGGCAAAACTGCTTCATGGAGGAATGTCGGTGATGTGGTGAAGCGAACTTAGGGAGTCTGCACCATGTTTTGCCTGAGCCTTTTGCACTGGTGTGTAGATCACCTACTAGATATTTAGCTTTCTTCCAGACACACCTCACATGCCTCACTTTCTCCACGTACTATTTTTGCCCATGTGGCTTTTGGTTGGCAGACTTGCTTGCCATCATCAACTCCTTGAGGTGATGTTGGCCTTCTCCAAATGAAAGAAGCTGCCACCACCCCTCTGCCCACTCCAGGAGGAGTGCTCCCTGGCCCTCTCCCTCTTTCTCTGAGCAACCAGGGTCTCTGTCTTTGTCTCACTGAGGGTAATGGAATGTGCCAG